CTAAAAGCATATGAAATTGATACCAAGAGAATGGAACCATGCATGTACTAAATGATTCATCATATTTTTCATCAGTAGAAGTTCTGAGAATTGCTTCATTCTGTTGGGTCAAAGTCCTACAGAACTATGATTCTTTATTGGATGATATTACTCACATTTGGTCCTGACAGTCCAGGTTCACCCATCTCACCAGGATCTCCCAGGTCACCCTATTACAGGAGCAAAGAAAGAATAATGTTTTTTGTGGACACCAGTGAGTGCCTTATGGTCAGATTTAGCAAAACAGTCTTTCTGTTGTAAGAAATACAGATTGTATTTTCTTCTGAGTGTCATGAATTATTGCATATCAATCAATTCATGTTCCATTAAGGCTACTTCCTTTGAGCAGTTTATTTTTTTGCCTTTGGATCCAGGATCCTGGATCTTGTTATGCTGGGTTACTAATCCTTGTAAATCCTTTTTGTTGTTTTTTGTCCCATTATGAATTGAGCTGGCACTCACTTTATCTCCTTTGGGACCTGGTGACCCCTCTCTGCCTGGCTTCCCCTGTGGCAATATATAAGAAACAAATGGAAGAGAAGACACTTGTGCACATGCAAGACCACAGACAATATTTAAGTGTGTGCACAGATGTAACACATTTCTCTATTAGAATCTGAGAAAACAGTGGATAGAACCCTTGTTGTCCAGTCTGGTCTGTGACCAAAGCAAATACTATCCTGAAGATAAAGTCTAAAACACCTTTCTGTAGCAGAACAGAAATGTGTATGTTAACATTCTGTGTCCTGGTCTGATTCTATGAAAACCCTTCTTCCTCAATAGCTGAAATACCTCTGGAATTAGATTGAAACCATTTTGAATATGGGTTCCTTAATACTCTTTCATGTTAGCTAGACTTAGTACCACATAAATTATTCTTTGCTCCGGGGAAACCCATTCAAATTGAATGAGCCCCTGGGAATAAAAGCTGATGATTTTCACCAGAATACCAGTCCCTTTCATTAATGGGTAGAAGGCTAATGTCCTTTATGAATTCCGTGGGGCTGCTTCTTTTCCTACCTGTGGACCGCGCACTCCAGGCAGCCCCGCCATGCCATCGCTGCCAGGATCCCCCTGCAATCAGGCAGAGCCACATCTTACAAGGGAATTACACAGAATGCCCTTTGTGTTGCCCTCATATCCTCCATGAGTCATCTCTAGACAAATGCCTTAAAAACACATCTGAGAGATGGACTCCAAGGTTCCAGTTTATCTGGATATCATTAAGTCATATGATCCCAGTGCTTTACTTACAACGTATGTTCTTTAAGACCAATGACTTTTCCCCCTGCTTTCCCTTTTTAAGCCTCACAATAAGAGCAGTAAAATAATTGCAGGATAAAATAAGGTCCAGTAGGTCATAGAGCCTTATGTTATTTAATTAAGTAAAAACAGTGAGAGCTGCACTGGTGTACTATTTAAATCAGTTTACTGTTCCTTGACTGAGGTAGGTGAGCAATAAAGATGTTATCACCAGCTTCAATAAATGCATTACCAGATGCCTAAGCTGAACATGTTTCACTGTTTTCCAGTGTAAGATAAGATTCCAGATAAGATAAGATCACTTTATTAGCCATATACAATTTCTTGCATTAGGAATTTGTCTTTTCGCATACTCCAGCTTGCTCTCCATGAGACAGACAGGCACACAGACAGGGAGAGAGAAGCTTGTGTTTGTGGTGCAATCTATTTTGCTTAACTCCCCTACTGCAAATACTCTAGTTATCCTTTAGTGGAAGACTTGATCCATACCTGTAGAGTTGTGCTATTGAAACCGTTTGTAGACCCCTGTTCACTGAGAGACAGAGGCACTTTCACTCACCGGTCGACCTCTGGATCCTTTCTGGCCTATAGACCCTGGCTGCCCCTGACAATGGGAACAACAGACAGCAGAGATCAAGAGCCTTTAAAAAGTCACACATAGGAATATGGCGTTAATCTTTTACTGTTATTACTGAGTTTTACTGTATTGACTACTCAGGTTGTCCGAAAAAGCCAACCAGTTGAATTTGGTCTACCAAA